AAGGGGGGGGGGGAAGAGAAAAAAGGAATCGTATGAAAAATGGCGAGGATGAAAGTAAAGAAGACGAAGGAAGTCGGTCGTGGTAAAGCGTAAGGTACGTGTGGAATGGGAAAAGAGTGGCAGAGACTTCGACAGTGCGAAAGGGAAGGCGGTTTGCTCTTCAGGTTTTGCCGGATCCCGGGGCAAAGAAATGTCATATTACTATCACTATGGTTGGTCACCGGCTTACCACTAAGGAGCCTGAGGTACATACCTAACCTTACCTAGGCACCTACCATTCACGGGGTATTAAACTGATGCCGTGGGCTCTACTCCGTACGAAGTATGGAGTCCTACTATCCATCTACTTATGAATTAGAATACTTCCAGTAGTATATGCTTGTCCTCTTGAAGCATCGGGTCACAGATCCTGAGATTGTCGCTTTCCACTCAGCTCTATGCAAGCCCCAAGTCTTTTTGTAGACAAACAATCTAAGGCACCCAACGGCTCCATTAGTCCCATCCATAGATCTTGCCGAACAAATTTCTGGAAGAGAATAACTCATTTGTTTGGTTCAACATACTCTTTGGATTGCTTTCTTTTTTCTTTTTTCTTTTCTTTTCTTTTCTTTATTTGTATCTGTATGTGATGTGCCCAAACATGTAAGCATTTCAAGTGGGTACTGTACCAGGCGCCTACCTAGTCTAACTAATAGATACCTGCGAGAAAAAATCGATGTTCCATATTTCGGAAATGTTTCAGACGCGCATCCTCTGCCTAGTCAGGTGGCGCCTGAGCTCTAAAACGCTATGTTCAATGGGCTATTTATATGCAAACAAATTTAATCATGTATTAGCCTGGCTGAGAACATCCATTCATACCCCTGGTGATAGGGTTTTTCATGATGTCATGGTGGATGCATATAGCGGTCAGAATTCCAAAGTCCATGGTAAGTTCTTAGGCTGAGCCCTTGAAGGACAGCAATGCATGACGGACATGTTAATGGCTACGCAAAATTCAACCTTGGGAGGGCTGAGTAAAGTGTGAGCTAGTTTATATTAGTCCCATCCGATTGACAGCTTTGAAACATGCTAAGCCCCGCGTTCCACTGTTCCATCTCCTGGAATCTTGCTTGCGGGCATGGTACGGAGTAAAGGTGGTATGGATGCTATGATTGATGAGTGATAAGGCATCTTTATTGGCTCTCTGTACGGAGTAACACAATGCACTATAGGTAAGAGGCGCTGACTACCAAGTAGTGTGCGCGTTTCCTAGAGATTAAGACACACACCTTTTTATCACCAACGAGCAGGTAGCACAAAACCACCGCGTTTCGAAGGCCCATGTAACAAGGATATCAATGATTGGGAACGGGCTCAGCATACACAACCGTTCTCATAAGCAGTGATGTGGGACAATTAAAAACCAGGGAGCAACATGCTCTGCACCAATACATATTTAGGACAGTAAGAATTGTTTGTAGATTGGGGTTTTTACGGGAATAAAAATGGAGAAGAGAGAAAGAGAGAGAGACAGAGAGACATAGGAAGCCGCAAATCAGGAAAAATTTGGCTCCCCCAAAAAGATCGACAAGACTGAGATTCGAACTCAGGCCCCCGAAGGGATTGCATGACTATCCTGTAAAGGACTAGCAGTGCAACGCGTTAACCACTCCGCCATCTTGCCGGAGGAGGTGAAGATTGCCACTCTCTGTGATTACAATTAATTCCAAGAATTACTTGAATCTCTACTCTTTATGGAGTACTCCGTACGGAGTAGATATCTACCTCCAGCTAGTGTCTCTGCGGTCAAAGACTAATAACTCCATGGCATATCAGCCACACCAATACGGAGTATATGCAATCCAGATAACAGGTATTAGCTGTCTTAAAGAACTGCATTGATACAGGAGCCAAACTATAACTTTTTAGGCCAATATTGCTCATGGCATAGTGGTTGACCAACCTCAAGGAGCTTTTCAGGTGTAACTCCTCTATACTCTGTGCACTGAAAACTTTAGCATTGTGCAAGTCATGCAAGGGTGTGATATTTATATCTTTGCCACTGTTACCCAGATGCAGCATTGGATGGCTGATGAGCCCGGTTTGGCTTGTTATATACTAACTGATACTAAGCCTCAACTCGTGATGCTAGTAAGATTGCTACGAGCATGGATATTTTGAAGGTGCTGCTATCGAAGAAACACCTTGTTCAAGCTTTCTTGATAGCCTCTGTTCCCATAACCGACAATTATTTTATTAACTCCTCTAGTCGATCATTTCGGACGGGACTTAAAGGAAGGCGTTAGTAAGGCGTAATTAAGCAAGCAATACTCCGTAGTTGATTTCCAATCAACCTAAAAGATACTAACAAGACCATTTACTCAAGTTACTGATTGTGTACACTTTCCTAGATCTAGTTATATCGGAATTAAAGGAAAATAAGATAACAATGGTTTGTGTTATAGTGGGTTCCTCCATGCTGGTGCAACCTCAATACGGAGTATCCGTACTCCGTACCTCGAACCCATTTACGGCTGTTAAAGAAGGATTGCAGCACTTCAATATGGATCAAAAAGTAATCAACTGCAGAGTCACAGAACTGGACAGATCGTCGATGGTTCTCCGTAACACTCATTAGTGCATTGACCAGGTTCTCGGACAATTCCAGTGATACAAAAAGGGGGAGAAAAATCAAAGGAAGCAGCGACAAGACTGAGATTCGAACTCAGGCCCCCGAAGGGATTGCATAACTATCCTGTGATAGGACTAGCAGTGCAACGCGTTAACCACTCCGCCATCTTGCCTCCTTATTGGTCCAATCTGGACCAGATTAAAGTTACATGTATGTCTGGGTACACCGCCTTACCTCAAAAGTAGTAGGTACTAGGTGCCTAGGATTTTGAAACCTTCAACCTGGGCCTTATCGGCAAGGCTCTGGGTATATACTCTCATCGTTGCCCCAATCACCCATGGAGACTACTTAGGTAGTTAATTAACAAGGGCTAGGTCTCATTTTCCAAAGCAGGTCTTTACCCATATTGGTGCTTGTCGGTCTCCTACCCCTATGAACGGAACAGCAGCCGTTTGAGTTCACACCTTAGCACGCGCCGTTTATTCACGCGCCTCTTTGGGTTTTCTTTCGACGTCTGTCATCTCATTTACTCCACAGACCCGATGAACATAGCCTATGCATTCACAGCCCCCACGGACTTCTCAAATCGAGCTAATACGTACTTCGGATCCCTTTATTCTCCTGGTCCATCGGACGTGTATTTGTGACCAGGTTCCGTTAAAGACGATCGTCTCGTCTTCCACTTGACAATACTTGTGGCTCCCAGATCACACAGAAAATGGTGGATGATAATGTAGGCCAATCATCCGCGGAAGAGGAGGTGCCGGTGGTTTCACTCATTCATGGACGGTTAAAGCGAAGCACTGCAGGACGGCACATGTCTGCGCTTCTCAATGCCGAAGCTGATGATGACCTTGCTCTCTTGTTCGAAGAGGTTGAGGATGACAACGAGTTCTCTGTCGACGCAGCAGAGGAAGGGGGGGAGGAAGATGATATGGGACTAGACTCATCTTCCGACGATGAGGACCAAGGGCCCAATGCTCGGTCCGATGATTACGAAGGGGAGACGCAGTTGCAAAAGGAAGAGAAAGCAGAAAAGAAGAAGCGAAGGGCCCAGCAAGATCTTCGGTTCAAAATAGTAGGCAAGAAGGTCAAGATTGATCCCACCGCCGTGTCTGCAGTACCCGCCCCTCGACCAAAGAAGAAGTCAGAGCGTATCTCATGGATCCCTACGCCCGAGGAGGGACCTACGCGGTCATCCTCCCGTCGCCAGACGATGCAGAACAAGGAACTTACGCACGCACGACTCAAGGATAGTGAAGAGAAGCGAATAAGGCTTATAGCAACTATGGAAGAAGCAGCCAAGAGAAAGGCCCAGCTGAAGCCTAAGGAGATGACACAGGCCGAGCGCCTTGCGGAAGCTGAGAGGGTCGAAAGACACAACAGCAAAAGCCTTAATCGGTGGGAGGAGATGGAGAAGAGAAAGGCAGAAGAAAGGAAGGCCAAAATCGAGGCTCTTCAGAATCGTCGTCTTGAAGGCCCCGTTATGTCTTACTGGAGTGGCATAGCTACCTGGGTTGATGGTCGCTTAACGCGCCTCGGCAAAGTCGATGTCACGCCGAAGCCAGAAAAGGAGGAAAACGCGCGCAAGAAAGGCAAGAAACATGACAAGGAGAGAAAGCCTACGCAAGAACAAAAGCTCGCAGATAACTCTACTTCCACTTCTGTCATAACCCAACATGTACCCCCAACTACTTTTGAAGGCACTACAGAACAAATTGTACCTGACGAGGTTGATATTTCAAAAGAAAAGCAGGATTCTACACAGACCGAGAAAACGGGCACTGTAACTGTGCAAGAAAGCGATGCGAAACCCGAAAGTATAACAAATACTGCTCCAGATATCTCCACGGCCTCGGCACCTCCACTTGCCCAGGATGACACACGGGATGGGGAGAAAGCTGGAGAGGCAGAGCCACAAAGGGATGGAACAGCACCGCCAGAGAAGATACCCGAGAGCAAACCTATAGATAAAGTTTCAAATGTTGCATTAAAAACTCACATCGATACGAATTCCGAAGAAAGTCCAAAAGATCCAGCTTCCGGTGCACAGGACGTGCAGGTGTCGGATTTTGCCTCCGCCCCGAAACCAGAGGAACAGGGGCAAGGGCAGGTAAATCAAACTCCTACGACCTCAGAAGGGAATGTCCTCACTACGTCAAAAGAACCAGTTGCCGAATCCGTGACAGCTCAACCTGCCTCTGAGACAGCTACAGCTCCCCAAGTGTTCCCTACTTCTTCGTCTTCTTCCCCTCCTTCCCCTCCTCCTGCTGCTGGTCCTACCCGGAACGCACCTTCTATGCCTGCACCGCCTAACCCACAATGGGAGGCACCTGCAACGACCATGCAGGGACAGAGGACTCCTGAGGTACAGCTGGGCCAGCTGAGCGAGGACACGCCACAATCAGAGGTCCCACAACATGCGTCAGTCATTGAACATACGGGGAGAAGCCTTACGGTACTGGAGAATTTCGACGACAGGACTGCCCAGAGCCGTGAATTCAGCATCTATTTCAATTCAAGGAAGCCGCCAAGGCTTACCAGTATGTAGAGGCGCACATTTTCGTTCTATGCTTTGTCACATGATTTGCTAACATTCTGAATAGAGATTTCTTCGTCACTCTGCGTCATCACATCACTTCCATCGCGTTACCGAGATCCGGAAACATCTCTTCCTTTTGCTAATGCATACGGATACAATGAAATTCGGAATACTGTCGCTCAGAAGTATTCCTGGAGCTCCATGCTCGGATGCTACGTGGGTCCTGCTGGCGTTGCTGCACGGGGGGTCCCCGAACGGTTTTTAGATCCCCAGGCAAAACCACCGGAAAGGGTGTGTGAGGAGAAATACAGTAATGGTGATGGTGGCCCTATTGATGGGGCAAGGGATAAAGTAGGTGAGACAAATACACCTCACGATGCTCCCGATGTGTCTAATCCAGCAACCGCTGCGGAAGCTGGGGCGGGCGATCCAATGGAAATAGATAAGCTGTAAACAACTTGAAGCCACGAAGACTTTGAAAGCTGTGTTCATCCAAATAACTGTACTATATTATGATACCCAGGTTAGAAATAACGGATTTCTATTAACATAGCCTTCCAAAGACTTGCATTGTTGTCGGGTGGCAGTTGTCAGCTAGCCACCCTGCATGGTTCAACAAGCTTGGCCAGATGATCATACTTCCAGATCAATATTATGGGCTCATCTGGATGATGACAAAAAAAAATAATACTAATGTATATGTTTATAGTATGAGTGCACCGCCAGCACGCAATGAACAATTCATTAAAAAAGGAGCCGACAAGACTGAGATTCGAACTCAGGCCCCCGAAGGGATTGCATAACTATCCTTGTAAAGGACTAGCAGTGCAACGCGTTAACCACTCCGCCATCTTGCCAGTGGTGTATCAGATTGCAAAATCTTGGTATTCTACAGAAACCTAGCTTGGGCATGACAACACAACCTGACAGCCGATAATATCTCTGCTACTAGAAAGGAAAGCTGTGGCAAAGCCATGATCTCTAAACCTAAGTTGCTGCTTCAATATCCTAGGCACAGAGTTCAATATATAGGATGGGTCAGATCTAGCCAAACTTGAAGCACAAACTTGATGCATTCAAATGGTTTAAGCCTATGATTACTATCGCGGGTCTTCAAGTTGATCTAGAAGGATGCTACTCCGTACAATTGGCTACCTCTACTATTCACATTAGGTGTTAGAGTATCACTAGATAGTACCCTGTACCTTTATTAGAAAGAACCCATTCACCTATGTGTTTAACTATCATTGCCGTCAGGTAAGCCACTCTCAGCCAATTGTGAAATGAAACTTGTATCCCATCGCCACTAGAAGGTGTGCCATCCCAGTGAATAGATATACACCCAATTCCCCCAGAACCCAAGAACATGACCCCTTTAGCAGGGGTCAAATATATCACAGGTGCTAAAGAAGTAGTAGATAGGTTTCTTTATCAATGGCACCATCTACCGCATGGATGTTACATATTGTCTCATGCAAAAAACGATTGTGGAATTTTTTGGTTCAAGTATATCCAATGGGAACAAGCCCAGTCCAAACAACCAGCGTTTCCTGTTTCAGGAGCACACATTATTTCCCAGAGCTTCTATCAAGCCGAGAGACCACCTGCCCTATTTTCATGGCAGCCATAGTGTCCAGTTGAACAGGTCACAATGTACTCCGTACTGCGTACGCTTCATCGGATCCCCTTCGGTTAGGTCATTGATTTCCGTCACGACGAGGGTTGCCGGCAAATACTCAGCCGAGTACGGAGTCATTACCTAGGTAGCATTGGGCATGCCCCAAAAAAATTCGACAAGACTGAGATTCGAACTCAGGCCCCCGAAGGGATTGCATAACTATCCTGTAAAGGACTAGCAGTGCAACGCGTTAACCACTCCGCCATCTTGCCGGAGGATGCAAGGATTCTCCTTTAATTGAAATCACTTAAGGTTTTGCAATGAACTTGTAATCAAAGATTTGCCCTTTTCAGCTTTCATCTACGGAGTGTATATTCGATATACATATTTCATCCTGCCATGTAGGACATTTGCTATCAGACCCGATCGACTCTAGATGCAAAAGACCTATCACCTGATGCACAGCTATATAGTGACGCTTCTCTGCTCTCAATATATAAATACTAGTCATGCGCTCACATAACCCAAGGATGCACCGAGTCGTTTCCAGTAACTGTTGTTTTAATCACAGGATTGGTTGGCCTTGATATAAATAGTACAATTCATGCTGGCGTCATAGGTAATTCGCTATAGACAGAAATTTGACATCACCTATATCCACCTACTTGCTGTCAACGGGTCAAGAAACACTGGTATATTGTTCCATTATTCCATACCTGCCTAGCTAGCCACAAGATCACTCAATGGTGATTGGGTCCACACCCCGGCCTTCAGTGACTTTCAGTTTACCTTTTACGGTCTCCGGCTCCGGCCTCTATATGCTGCCTCTTTGTTGAAGATCTACCTCGACGTTCCTTATTCTATAGACCAGGCTGAATTATGCTTGTTTAACACTCGGTTACGACTGATTGTTATCATGACAATGACACCCACTCTCTAGGTTGGAGAAAAAGCACGTAATTGGGGTGGTGAAAGTTAAAATGGAGAGGGATTTTTTTTGACACTGAGAGTC